GGTGGCATGGGCCACATCAACTATGAAGATAGATGGCCTGTGCCCCATCAACAATGAAGACGAATAGCCTGTGCCACGTCAGCAATTTGGACAGGTGGCATGCGCCACATCAGCGATGTAGACAGATGGCATGTGCCACATCAGCAGAGGCTGGCGCTCAGCAGAGAAGGCGCCAGCATGCTGCCACAATCCTGCATCGTCGTCCACAGTGTCTGCGCACAGCCAGCGTCAAGCTAGTGTCCAACCAGTGTCAAGCCAGTGTCATGCCATCGTCTAGCCAGCGTCAAGCCGACGTCAAGGCAGCATAGCAAGATTGAATGTTGACCTCTTGGAGACCAAGCCTTATGTAGTGTTTGACGAGGCAGTTTGGCCTCAAGTCTCCTTCCCACGGTCGTACAGATTGACTCACCGCCGAGGGCTTGGATTGTGTACAGTTGCATGCTTCCCTTTGGTTTTGATGCTGTCTGGGTACCTGCATACAAACAAGTGTGTACGTTTGACCGGTGGCCCGGGTTGGGTCCACTTTGACGTTGAGTGTTGGGCGTCAGGCAGTTGACTTTAGTCAACTGTCTCCCGCTCAGGCCTTGAATCTACATAGGGCCATTTTCCCCTTTGGCCTGCGTTTGAGTATGGCCCAGGGAGGCCCTTAGACATTCCACGAGGCATACTGCATGGGTTAGTGCATTCTTGCCGGCCCAATTTTTGAGTTCCATCGCAGAAACACATCAATTTTCTTTCATCCCACGTTCATAGGCAGCAACAATGTCAGAAGCAGTAGGTGAGAGTTCCTTTTTACAGAACCATCTAGCTTCAATAGGGGGTTGAGACTTGAACTTTACCTTATACTGCTTCTGCGGTCGTCCTCTGCTGCCTATAAAAAAAATAGCCATGTTCCAAAATCTTCTCAATTTCATACCCTCCATTTATGGAGGGGGGAAACATAGATGGTCTATTAGGAAACTTAGTTCCCTCTACGTATGGCAAGAGTTTAGACGTATGAAAAACAGGATAGGTTATGAGGTAAGGGGGTACATCAATTCGATAAGAAGGCCGATTTGTATCCCCAATCACCTTGATAACTTCCTAGGGCCCATAGTAGACAAGTAGCGGTTTCTGAGATACGTTTTCTTCTAGGGAAAATTCTTTAGATTTCACCCATACTAGATCACCTTTTTGAAACTCCGATGGCTGACGATGTTTGTTAGCCTGCTCAATCATCTCCAGCTGGGCTTTTTGTATGTTTTCCTTTACCTTAATATCTTCTTCGTATAGAACTGCAAATTCACGAGTGTCTGGGGGTAACCTCTGAATTTGATCCCGAGTTATAGCATTAATGGGACGTCGAGGTTGCGATCTCTTATACAATGCATTGGGTGTTCTTCCTGTTACAGTGTGTATGCACCACCAATCTTAGGTAAGTTCTCATCCCAATTTATTTGATCGGATCGAACATACATCACAGACGATTCATTTGTTTAGTTTGGCCATTCGTTTCAGGGTGTCCGCCTGACGACATGGTCAACCTGGTACCATAGAATTCCATTAACTTCTCCCATTGTAGACTAGCGAACCGAACATCCTTGCAGAAACGATGGTTTTCGGGAATCCATACTTAGAGACCCATCGTATTTGAAACTTATGGATGACCAACTCAGTTCTAGCTTCGGCACGCAAAGGAATGAACATAGCATATTTGAGAATCTGTCTATATTGACCATTATCTGACTGTTGTCGTTTCGGCTCTTGGTGAGACTCATAAAGTTTATGGAGATAGACTCAGCTGACTCACTTGGAATAGGCAGTGGTCTCAATAACCCCAAAGGATTCTCATGTGAGGGCTTGTTCCTCTGACAAACATGACAATTCCGCACATAGGTTAGTACATCATCTTTCATTCCTTTCCATTCAAATCGTTCTCTTTCATCAACATAGGCTTGTTCCTTTAACAGACAAGACAAGTTCGTACATAGGTTAGTACATCATCTTTCATTCCTTTCCATTCAAAGCGTTCTCTTACGTCATCATACGTCTTCTTAAAACCAAAGTGTCCCTCATTATCACGACATTCCTCAATGACCAGATTCTTGATCCGTTCTTGGTGAGGAATACATAATCTTTCTTCGGTTCTATCCAAGTAGAAGAGTAAGTCATTAGTCATTTGATATTGTGGGAATAGTTCAAGGTTCTTTCGTAGGGTCCGAATGATAGGACTCCTAATAGGATCACTCTCATATCCCTTTCTTATTTGTTCCTTCAGTTCATTCCCGATATAGAGGTAGGAGACAATGGTTCCAAAGAAATCTGCACGCTTGGACAAAGTATCTGCGACCACATTGAACTTTCCTTTGATTGTTTTCAATTTAAAGTCAAAGGTGTCGATGAAAGCGGACCATCTTACTAACTATCAGAGAGTTTAGGTCGAGTCTTGATCCACTTCAGAGTAAAATGATTTAAGTAAACAGTGAAGTGTTCCCTAATAAGTAGTGCTTCCAGGTGTCTAGTGCAACAACTTAGGCATACAATTCCCTTTCGTAGGTGGAGTTAACCACTTTCTCTGACGGAAGCCTCCTGAACATAAACTCTATAGGTTTGTATCCCTTACCGTCATCATGTTGTAGCACAACTCCAATCCCATACTGACTTGCGTCAGTTGTGACGATGAAAGGGAGAGAAGGGTCAACAATTTTTAAGACAGGGTAGTGAGTTAGTACATATTTCAACTTTTTGAACGATGACTCACAATCTTTGTCCCACGACCAAGGCTTTTCCTTCTTCAGAAGTCTTCTCATAGAAGTAGCTATCAGAGAGCAGTCTCTAACGAACTTCCTCTAATAACTACCAAGTGTCAAAAAATATCTCAACTCAGTTATAGTCTTAGGTTGGGGCCAATCTCAAATTGTTGTGATCTTCTTTTCTTCGAGCCTTAGTCCTTTTTCATTCAATATATGCCCTAAGTACAAGACTTCGGGCTTAGCGAACTCGTACTTTTTCGGGTTCAATTTGAAATTGCCCTTGTGCAATTTCAGCAGAACCATTCGTAGATGTTTCTCGTGATCTTCTAATGTCTTGCTGTACACTAGAATGTCATCGAGATAGACTACTACAAAAATATCCAGACATAGACGGAACAATTCATTCGTTGATGTTTGAAAGGTCGCAGGTGCATTAGTCAAACCGAAAGGTCATAACTGTGACCTCGTAGTGACCATAAATGGTTCGGAAAGTTGTATTATGTTGATCTTCAGGAGCCACCTCGATCTGGTGGTACCCTGACTTGAGATTAATTGCACTGAAGTACCTGCATCTTTGCAATTGGTCCAACATGTCGTCAATGCACGGAAGTGGTTCTGCGTTCTTTACAGTGACGAAATTCAGCCCACGATAATCAATACATAATTTAAGTTCACCTTTCTTTTTGGGCACGAATAAGACAGGGGCACCATAAGGAGATGAGCTAGGATAAATCCATCCTTTGTCAGTAAGTTTTTGCAGTTGTTTGCAAAGTTTTTCAAGTTCCTTAGGAGACATACGGTAAATGGGACCCTTGGGAATCTTGCTTTCGAGAATAATCTCGATTGTGTGCTTGATGGCACGCTCAGTGATTCTCGTTGGCTCAGTTTGCAAGTCCTTATATTCCTTGATAAGTTTTTCAATAAAAGGAGGATAGGATGAGGAACATTCTCCTACTCGTTTAACGAGTACCATCATCACATCTTGATCCAACTTCTTCTTAACAACCATCGATCAGAAGGTTGTGTAACTCGTACAACAGAAAAACAAGGTTGAGTCAGAGCCAGACCTATGCTACAACTTAATCGACCGCATTTCAGACTTTTCTTCCTTTAGCTTTATAATTTTTTTTTGAACTCGACTTTTGGGTCGACTTCTTCGTGCCAATCCATCCCCAGAATCATGTCAAAAGGCAGATTCCTTTCAATGAGGAAGGATATCTCATGCAAAATTTTATTTCCTTCGTTCGTCTTGAAGTAACACTTGGCACGGTCGACGTATTGAGAGACAGTGATCGTGCTCTTGTCAGCCAACATAGACGTGATAGGTCTAGGTAAGTCTCTTACCTTCATTCTCAGATGCAATTTACGAATTGCCTTCTCTGAGATATAAGACCGCGTCGATCCTGGGTCTAACTTTGCACCTACTCGCGTATGCGCAATCTCAATGTATGCGATCATGAGTTCACCCTTAGACTTAGCTTTCTTAGCCCACAAACTTCACTTTATAATTTTACTTTGAACCCGACTTTTGGGTCGACTTCCTCGTGCCAGTCCATCCCCAGAATCATGTCAAAAGGCAGATTCTTTTCAATGAGGAAGGATATCTCATGCAAAATTTTATTTCCTTCGTTCGTCTTGAAGTAACATTTGACACAGTCGATGTATTGAGAGACAGTGATCGTGCTCTTGTCAGCCAACATAGACGTGATAGGTCTAGGTAAGTCTCTTACCCTCATTCCCAGATGCAATTTACGAATTGCCTTCTCTGAGATATAAGACCGCGTCGATCCCGGGTTTAACTTTGCACCTACTCGCGTATGCGCAATCTCAATGTTGCGCTCATGAGTTCACCCTTATACTTAGCTTTCTTAGCCCACAAACTCCGCTTTAGAATTTTTCTTTGAACCCGACTTTTGGGTCGACTTCCTCGTGCCAATCCATCCCCAGAATCATGTCAAAAGGCAGATTCTTTTCAATGAGGAAGGATATCTCATGCAAAATTTTATTTCCTTCGTTCGTCTTGAAGTAACACTTGACACGGTCGACGTATTGAGAGACAGTGATCGTGCTCTTGTCAGCCAACATAGACGTGATAGGTCTAGGTAAGTCTCTTACCTTCATTCCCATATGTAATTTACGAATTGCCTTCTCTGAGATATAAGACCGCGTCGATCATGGGTCTAACTTTGCACCTACTCGCGTATGTGCAATCTCAATTTATGCGATCATGAGTTCACCCTTAGACTTAGCTTTCTTAGCCACGAACTCCGAAGTGTTGTGAGTTCATTGCTGAGCTCTCATCAAGGGAATCGTCCAGTGAGACACAACAAGGAACAGTGTCAGGGTGCTATGGACGACGGGCTGAAGAAGAGCCATCCTCTGCCTTAAGAGTTGTGGGGTTAGAAGGGGTTGTCGGTGCCTTACCTTTGTCTAAACCCCTAACTCAGTATGACCAGATGCTATTCCTACTGGCTGCTCAGTTTTGGGTTCCGGATCAAGGGACACGAGGCTATCATGTGTCCCACGGTTCTGCACTTGAGACATTGGCGATTGTCCATCTTGGACTGCCACTTCTCACGTGTTATTCCCATTTTTTCCCAGGGCTTCCCGTACGCGATGTTGGGATGCTCGTGAAACGAGCGTGGCCTCCTCTCTTCTTCCATTGACTTGGGCCTCCCTTGTTGGCGACTACGACAACGACGTCACCCTTCCCAGACTTGTTGCCGCTATTACCTCCTCCTCCTTCGGACTCGTCGAGGGGGAACTTCTCAACGGTCTCATCGTCAAAGACGATGAGCATGTGGTCCTGACGCTTGTGCCGCCAATGGACCCGCTTGCAGTACCCACCAACCCCTCCAGACGTTACTATTGAAGCATATGTGCCCGTTACCTGAGCGGTCATCTGCTCTCGTTGGAGAGCAAGATCGTGAAATTGTCGATAGTTGTACTTCCAAGACTTTGCCTCTGCCACGAGCTGTCCGCGAATGGGCTCGGGCAAAGCATGTGAATAGATATACAGAACCTGGTTGTCCTGTGAGTTCAAACCAGGTACCTGCAAGAGACGGTCCACTTAACGTGATAAAGCATCCATAAACGTCCAATGCTTTTGACCTATGGTGGTGAGTTCATCAATCGCCTTATCGGCTATCGTCTTATCCAAGAATCTCTCCTTAATCTTTTGGAGAAATTCTCGGAGAGTCAAGGTCTTTGCCCACTCACCAATATCTTCGAAGCCAACAGTGTTGGCTTAAGACAATACCCACTCCTTGGCCACTCCTCCCAAACACGACGTAAAGAAGGCCACCTGACTTTCAGGCTCAATAGGAGCGGTGCCTCAATAGGTCTGGATTTCAGCAATCCACAATAATAAATTTTCTTCCTTCTAATTGTTGTAGGTGAACGACAATTTCATTTTCACCTTTTCTTTCCTCTTTGTTTTTTCTACTTCCTTGGCTGGTTCTTCCTTTTTGGCGGGTTCTTCTTTCTTGTCTGGCGGCTTCTCGGGTTCCTTCTTGGAACATTCGGATCTCCTCCTCAATTCTTACCTTGTCCTTAAACTTTAGAAGTCTGGCCACTATCTCCAATGAGGCAGTGTTACTGTCTATTTTCTTTTCAAGGTGGACGAGATAGACCATTATAGACTGCAGAATGGATGCAAGTTTGGTGCCTGCTTCTTTGTAATGGAATCTCTGCCTGAGTTCATCCATCATTCTCTCTTCCTATTCTTGCTCTTCCTGCTTTCTCCGGAATTCTTCAATCTTCCTTCTTTCTTCTTTTAGTGTGTTTTCTAATTGCCTGACATTTTCCTCCATAATCTCTACAGTGCAATCAGACTCGACTTCTTCACACTTGTCAAGCATGCAAACAGCGAGACAGCAAACTGGCGACATGCGCCCACACAGTACTCAAGATATCGTAACCAGGTAGGAGTTCTCTTCAACTGGCTATGGCGACTGAGCGCCCACACAACTCACTGTTTGCAGTCTGGATCACCCTGGATGTTCCACACGCAACACTCTACACGCAACACACACACACACACACACACACACACTACTATGGCTATGGCAGCTATGGCTGCCACTATCCTATCGCTACACTACACTTCACTGCCCTCTTCGTCTTCGGGCGCACTGCAGACCTCCTCGCACAAGCTGCTGGGGCAGCGCTTCCGCATGGCATCCGCAGGAATGAATGAATGGCTGGACGCAGCCTCTTGATTTTTACTTCTGCGCTGCGTTGGTCTGCCCTGTATCCCTTGGCCCCCGATGTGCACACAGTCCCAGACGGTACTTGCTGAACAGGACCGGACTGACTAACTGGGACTGCTGACTGGGCTAGGTGGACTACCACCACTTGACCATTTGCCTCTGCTGAACACAGGCCAACTCCGAAAGGCCACTTCTAGAAGTCTCGAACTTGGCCTTTCGGTACTGTAGCAGCTACGACTTTGCCCTTTCAGGTAAGTAGCAGCTACGACCTTGACTCTTCAGGCATCCTACARCTMCGACTTTGGAACTGTCTAGACTCCTACYST